GAAGAGTCTGGGATTTGCTTAGTTGCTGCTTTTTGTGTGTGTAGTTTGTGGGTTTGTTGGGGCTTTTTTGTCCTCTTTTTTGTCCTCTTTTCTTAGGCTAGCTTTCTTTTTCTGAACTGAATTATAAAACTGGCTAGGAAAATTATCTGAAAGAGGTTTTCTAGTTCTTCCTGGCACCTCCAAGGTTGCCACAAAGCAGAGGTACCTCTGGAGGACTTGTCTGCATACACCACAGATGCACAAAGCGTTCAGTCCTCCTAGTCATGCTGAACCAGTGTCATGCCAAGTGAAGAGCATTCCTGCTCCTAAACAAGAATGTGCTCTCTTTTCAGCGCTCTTCCAGGAAGTTTGCTGAGGGCCCCCCAGCTCCTCAGAAGAAATCCAGATCCATTAGCAACACAGCAGACCAGGTATGGTGGTCACAGCTGGGTTTGTGTGCGCTTGGCCACGGTTCCTGCCTGTTTCCAGGGCCACTGGCACTCCTGTGTTCCGTCAGCACTCCTGTCACTGGTGTATTTGTCATTCCAGGCTAATGAATCCATAGTAGCAAAGACCACTGTGATGGTCCCCAATGATGGTGGCCCAATTGAAGCCATTTCTACCATCCAGACTGTGCCTTACCCTCGGAGGAGCCGGAGGAAGAGCGGTAGGTGCAATCTCCATCCTGTCCTGACACAACTACCTGGCCTATCCTGAAATGTTTGTTATTCCAGGACCTGGGAGCTGCTTCTGGTTTATGATAGCTGTGCTTTTAGGGGCAGAGGGTGATTCCAGCCAGTCAGCCTTGTCCTCTTGTGTCTTCCAGGTCCTTTGCAGCCCTGGAACAGCGAGTCCAGCATAGGCAGTAAGCAGCTGGAGTCCAAATCAGACACCGATGGCTCCAGCACCCCGCAGCACAACGGGGGAGTGAGGCTGCATGACTTTGTTTCAAAGACGGTGGGTCTACAGGCAGGAGGAGCTTGGAAAAGCATCTCCTTCCATCTTGAAATGTGTGTGATAAGAGGCTAACAGCTGTGTCGGGGGAAGTTTAGGTTGGATATTGGGAAAAGGTTCTCCCAGAGGGGCGGTCGTGCACTGACCAGGCTCCCTGGGGAATGGGCACAGCCCCAAGGCTGCCAGAGCTCCAGGAACATTTGGACAATGCCCCAAGGGATGCACAGGGCAGGATTGTTGGGGTGCCTATGCAGGAGCTGGACTGATGATCTCTGTGGGTCTCCTCCAGTTCAGGCTATTCCATGATTCTATGGCTATGTCTCGGGTCAATACCTGCATGGATCAGGGAACTGTTACCCAGTTTAATTCCTGCCGAGTTACCACACTGCACTAATCTCTCCCATCTGTGTGCTCTGCATCACCAGGTTATCAAGCCAGAATCATGTGTTCCATGTGGAAAGAGAGTCAAGTTTGGGAAGATCTCTCTGAAGTGCAGAGACTGCAGGGTGGTCACTCACCCGGAGTGCCGGGAGCGCTGCCCTCTGCCCTGCATCCCCACGCTGACGGGCACTCCGGTCCGCATTGGCGAGGTGGGTCTGTGCCCCACAAGGGCCTACCTTGGCTTGGGGACTCGCTCAGCTCCAAGGCTGCCTTCCCCAGCAAAAGCTCCTGTTGCTCAGAGCTGCATAATAACATGCAAATGAGCTCGCTAATGCATCATTCCACAAGCAGGGAGGGGGTGTAGGGGTGTGATGGTAGGAGGGCGTTGAGTGGGGAAGGTGGCAGCTCTGGGCAGGCGATGCAGCGTTGTGCTGATGGATGTGATGTTTCTTCATCAGTCCTGAGAAGAGCAACAATTCTTGTTTTCAGACCATAGATCTTGCTGTGAATTCCTGAGAGAGTATTTTCCATGTCTTGGTGACTGAATCAGTCTTTTTTTTTTTTTTACTTTCCCTTCTGCCTTTTAGGGCACCTTGATGGATTTTGTCCCTTCTACTCCTCCAATGATCCCTTCCATCATCGTGCACTGTGTTAATGAGATTGAGCAACGAGGGCTGCATGAGGTAAGAGGAAAATGAAGTGTGAAACAGTGCTAATGAAATGGGTTGTGGTGGTAGGGAAGCACAAATTTTTAACCCAAATATCCTGTATTTATGATATGGATTGTGCTGCTCAGTGAGTGACTGAGGTGTGGAGAGAAGGTGGGGATGGAAGAAAATCAGTTGACCTCCTCCTCTGAGCCAAGCTTTGTGCCAACAGACAGGCATTTACCGCGTCTCTGGCTGTGAGAAGACTGTGAGGGAACTGAAAGAGAAGTTTCTTAGAGGAAAGAACATTCCTTTGCTCAGTAAAGTGGACGATATCCACGCCATCTGTGGCCTTCTCAAGGACTTCCTGCGCAGCCTGAAAGAGCCCCTTCTCACTTTCCGGTTAAACAAGACTTTCATGGAAGCTGCAGGTGAGGAATTGCTGCGTGACATCTGCAGCTCTTTCCTGAGGCTCAGTGCTTGTGGTTTTGCTGTCAAGTGAGCCAGCAGGCCTTGGTGCTCTGTGGAGTCCTCGTGCCTGAATTGTAGTTGGGCAGGACACAAGATTATTAGCACAGCATGAGCAGTTTCTGGCTTATTTTTCAGGGTAGCTGTGGCTGTGAGGGGCATATTGCATCTTCTGGGAGCACTTTCTTAGGTCTAAATATTATTTTTTCCTGCTAGAAATCTTGGATGAGGACAACAGCATTGCTGCTATGTATCAAGCAATTGGAGAACTGCCTCAGGCCAATAGGGACACCTTGGCTTTCCTCATGGTCCACCTGCAGAGGTACGTTCTGAGGGACAGTGGGGTTGGAACCAGGTGATTTTGAAGGTCCCTTCCAGCCCAAACCATTCTGTGATCTGAAAGGGGAAGGTTACCCCACGGGTGTTTTTTCTGATTGGGTCTGGTTACTGCTTATGAGCATGAACAAATTCTGGAACAAACCTCTGCTCCCTCAGAGGCCAAGTGTGTGTGGGACAGGGGACTTGTGTCACAAGTGAAGGGGTGAAGCTACATTCTTTTTGAATTTCTTATCTTGCAGGGTGGCTCAGAGCCCGGACACCAAAATGGACATCTCCAATTTGGCCAAAGTCTTTGGCCCCACCATAGTTGCCCACGCGGTCCCAGATCCTGACCCCATGACCCTCCTGCAGGACACGAAGCGTCAGCCCAAGGTAGGACAAACCTTGGTGATTTTCTCTCTTCCAACCCAAACCATTCCATGATTCTGTGAACAGTGACTCACAGGGGTGTCTGTAGGTCGTGGAGCGACTCCTGCTGCTGCCCATGGACTACTGGAGCCAGATGATGATGGTGGAGCAGGAGAACATTGACCCAGCACACGTGATTGAGAACACCAACGCCTACTCCACTCCACGGACACCTGAGATTCAAGGTAATCCTGCCTTTTCCTCCCTTTCTAAAAACAGCAATCCCAGCAGCCTGGGAGGCTCTCAGAGCTTCACACAGGGAGAGGGAAAAGCAAAGTCTGCCAGGAAATGCCAGATTTGTCTAGTGCTTTTGACAGATGCCAGGGAATGCCTGATGTTCCCTGCATGGCAAAGAAAAAACTTGAGCTGTCTCCACACTGTGCTGCTCTCTTTTGGCAGTGAGCATTCTGGGACCTCTCACCACCCCGGAGCAGCAGCTCTCCAAGACACCCTCATCCAGCTCCCTGTCCCAGAGGGTCCGCTCCACCTTCAGCAAGACCACCCCCAAGTAAGTGCCAGTGGGTGCTCTCATGCCATGTTTGGAATGACTGCAGGTGGTTTGGGTGCTCTAGGAGAGCAGATATTTGGGGGCAGTCAGCATTTACTGCTCACTAAACCCTCCCTTAATCTGTGCTGTGGGAACAGCAGCTGCCTGATGGGTAACAAACATCCTCCTGTGGTACACAGAGGAACTTAGTATGGGAGGTGGGTGAAATTTGGGTGAATGTTCCCTGCAAGAGGGAGAGTCTTAAACTTCTGTGTCCAGCAGGAGGATGTTACCTTGTTATGTTTGGTCTATATTATACCAACAGGATATCAGTATGGAATCAGAATCCATACTGATGTTCTTGTGTTTCTCTTGAATTAGATTTGGGAGCAAAAGCAAGTCAACACCCCAGTTTGGGCATCAGGGGAACTTCTTTGCCTCTCCTATGCTGAAGTGAAGACCTGGGAGTTGGTCTTGTCCTGGCATTTGCACAGCAATGCTCACATGTGGAAGAAGCACAGGTTGTCTCTGTGGCCCCTGGCAGCTTATATTAAATGATGTTTTGCCTTTTATCTTTCAGCTTAACTGAGACTTTTAATGGGATTTTATAGTGCAATTTATTTTTATTATCTAATGCTGTGCTGAATGTAGTATTGGTGAAAACAGTAACGAGCAGGATTTGTTCAGTGTTAATCATTAAAGAAACTCTAGAGAACTGGCATTTTAACTAACATCTGTTTTTTTCCCTGTGTGAAGTAGAGCAGTCACAAAATGAGGGTCAGTTGGTTGGGGTTTTTAGGACTCCATAGGATGTTGTTGACACAGCAGTGCCTGAACTTTGTCGGAATCGAGGTTTTCCATCAGCACAGTCTGTCCCACCTGGCTGGTGGTGCAGCTGCAATCCTGAGGATGGCAGTGTTGGACTGGGCTGGTGGGCAAAAGCCTCTCTGTAATGAACTGCCCGAGGAACTGTGGCTTCTCCAAAGGAACGTTTCCTGCTACTATATTTTATATATTTATATATATGTGTTTGCAGGGGTGAATTCTGTAGAGGAGGGTGTAGATGCAAAGCCAAAGGGGTTCCTGGGAAGCCCAAAGGAGTTAGTGCTGCTCATGCTGGTGAGGGGAGGGAGGGTGGTTCAGTGGGGATGGGGGATGTCCACCTGTGTCTGCAGGTAAGGGCACAAATTCCAAGTGGGAAGGGCTGGGAGGGGGATGGAGAGTGAGAACAGTGAGGAGAGGGCAGATCTTTGGCATTCCATGCTCTGGATGCTTCAGGCTTCAAGAAGACACCAGCAAGGATAAATCACACAGAGAAATATTTATTGATCAAAGAATATTAAAAGCCACAGTTTGGCTCCAGAAACAGGGATGCAAATGTCATTCCTGGTGGGAACCAGTACAAGAAAGCTCCTGGTTTACATCCAGGCAGGGGGCAGGCGTGCGTGTGCTTCTGAGGATTAGTGTAGATAAAATCACCTCTGTGGGCTCCTTAATCAGCAGTGTTAAATGCATTTGGACAGAGCAGGGGCTGTCTGTGTCCTGTCCTGAAGGACTTCACTCTCATCACGGCTCCTCACCGATCTTGTGGAGGAATCCACCTCCTGGTTTGTTGCAAATGGTGGAATTCTTCTAATTAACGAGTTGATTTCTCACATTGCCCTAATCAGCGTTCAGTTCTGATCAGTGGCAGTTCCAAGGGAGAGACACGGGTCCACACCTGCTGAAGATTGTGCTCAGACCCTGTAAGCCAAATTCTTCACTCTTGTTTTCATTCCCTGGGGGAGAAGCAGGACACAGCAGCGTGGCTGAGGTGTGGGCACTTGGTTACCCACGGGTGGGCCTGGATTTGATGGGTGAGCAATGGGGTGACATGAGGAGCCAGCAGAATCACCATGTGAGGGATGGCACTGCTGTGCAGAGCCAGACAGTTCCTTTTGCCCTTCTAGCCTTGGGAAAAGTCATTCTCTGCTCTTTCTGGGATGGGGTCATCCTCATCATCCAAACTGAGCGCAGCAGGGTCCCCATACAGGTGCCGGTCGGCCTCTTGGAGGAAGCAGTGGATGTCGTTGGCAGCGTCGGGGTCACCGTTGCGCTGGTAGACCTGAGCCATCCTCCTCAGCCTGCGCCCACAGTCCTTCCTCTGGTCTGTCTGCATAGGAATGCTGTAAGCAGCCATGAACTTGGCTTTTGCCTTTCCCAGTGACTTCCCCCGGTACAGGAAGAACTTTCCCCAGAAGCGATTCAAGGCTTGACGGTACCTGAGGCTCAGGGTGTCGATTTTCTCCTGCAGCTCCTTGTAGATCTCTTCTTCCCGTGCTGGATCCCTCGCACCAATGAGCTCTGCCAGCTGCAGCCTGACAATTGTAAGGTCACGGTCTGGATGCGCCTCAACAATTTGCTGGAGGTGTCTGATGGCTGCATCCAGTACATTATTCTTGTCCTCCTGGTTTGCTTTAAGCCACTGTTGCTTGTAGCACTGGGCCAAGGCCTGGTAGAGAAGGTGGTAACCCGAGTTCTGCTGCACGGCTCGCTGGGCGATCTCGAGCGCTCGCTCTGTCGACTGTGGCATCCTGAGAAAAACCGATAGTCTGAGGACCTCGGGGTCAGAGCTTCCCTCTGCACATTCTTCAGCCAAGCCAATTGATTTTTCCTTATCTCCTTGTCCAAGTAGCCTGGCCAAATATATTTTGGCTCTGTAGTTATTTGGCTGCTCGTTGATAATTCCTTCCAACGGGGCTATGGCTTTGCTTGCCATATCAGGTTGCCAGGAGAAATTCCAGGAGGAATAAAGAGCCATTCCAAGCCCAGTACGGAAAGATCTGTTCTCTGGTTCAAGCATCAAGGCCACCTCGAAGCACTCTCTTGCCCGCTGCCCGTTGCGGGCTCTGATAACCAGGAGGGACCAGCCTTTGTGTGCCTGGATGTGCGGGATCAGCCGCACGTCCCAAGGGGTTGGGCAGAGCTGCTGAGCTCGTTGCAGGCAGGTTTCAGCCTCCTGATAGGAGCCCTGAAGGTAATGAATCCAAGCATAATTCCCGTAGATGACCAAAGAGCCGGCAGTGGATGCCGGCTGCTCCTCCTCGTTGTTGCGCTCCTCAGCAGCTCGGAGGCTTTGCAGAGCTGCCGTGCTCTGGTTGTCCAGCTGGTGCAGGAATGCCTGGAGCCCCAGGAGAGCCACCTGGTTCTGGTGGGCCGTGTGCTTGATCTCGACATCCAACTTCTGCAGGACGTGCTGAGGACAGAGAGAGTCAACGTCCAACTCCCAGGTGAAGTGACACTGGAGGGAGTCCAGCTTCTCCTTCAGCTGCTCCCTGCTGCAAAGAGGAAATGGTGAATTGCGTTATGGAAGGGTGGGACCCTGGGCTGCCCACACAGAGTGGGGGGAAAAGAGGAAGGGAGGTGGAGGAGGAGACTCTCTCCAGTTGCTCAACACATCCCTTGCACTCGGGCTACTAAAGAACCTCCAGATTGTTGTTCCAATCAGCCCATTTTTCAGTGAGCCTTCCCACTGGAGAGCAGCAGGGCAGGAGTGCAGTCACCAGTGCCTGGAGCCAGGGCTGCTCTCTTCTCTAAAGGGATGGGCTGCAAAAAGGGAGAGTAGAGCCAGCCCCACCCATACACTGAAAGCTTCTTCACCTTCTATTGGTAGGAGCTGTGCCTTCAGCTGAAGGATGAAGAAATGGCTCAAAAAAGAGCCCAGCAAGGTAAGGAAGGTGTTAGACTGGAGTGTCTCTTCCATGAGGAAAGGCTGAGAGAGCTGAGACTGTTCAGACTAGAGAAGAGAAGGCTCAGGAGGATTTTAGAGCTGTGGAAATAACTGAAGGGAGGGTGCAAAGAAGTGCAAGGCTTTTTTAGTGGTGCCCAGTGGGCAAGAAAGGCACAACCAAGCCTAGAAATCTCCATCTGGACATCAGGAAACTTAACCATGAGAAGAAGAGAGGCTTTGCACAGCTTTCCTGGACAGGTTGTGCAGTCTCCACCCTCAGAGAGACTCCAAAGCTGTCTGGATGCAGTTAGAGGACAAGACAACTTTCAGAGGCCCTGTCCAGCCTTAACCATGGTGAGATTCTGAGGCAGGATGAGCTGAGCCTTGTCCCCTCACACTCCTGTGGGAGCTGTGACAAGGAGGGATGCTGTGCACTTACCTCATTTTTGCTGCGGATATCACGTCACTGTCGAGGGACAATGGCTTGGCTGCACCTCTTTTATGTGGCATCAGACCCTGGCCAGGACAGTCTGTAACCTGAAAGACAGACTGAGCCTTAAATAGGAAAGCTCTCTCCTGGGTGGAGTCAGATGAAACCACTTATCTAGGATGAAATGAAACTGAAAGAGCTAAAACCAGAAAAAGAAAGTGTCTTCTTGCTGTCCATCTTTCCTTCATAAAATGACATTGGATAGACAAGGAAGGGAACCCTGTGATCAGAGCAGCAGGGTCTGAACTCCCCCCTGGAGACCTCCCTGCTGGAAAGGACTTTGGTGTTAGAGCTTTTAGGAAGTTACACCTGGTGTAAGGTGATGGAGGATCCATCAGAATGGAAATGCTGCGTCACCTTGATTGGTGAGGAGCCAAAGGCTGCAGGACTTTGTCCCCAGGACTCATCTGGATCTGCCCTGGTGGCTTTGTTGGGGTTTATCTTGTCTGCCTGGCACAGCAACCAGCCAGAAAAAGGGGATGGCAACTGTGTTTGCACAGTTTGGTGTGAGGGACAGCGGTGTCCCTGGGGTAAATCCCAAATCCTTCCTTAAGGAGCAGGAAGTGCTGACAGAGCTCGGGATGCTGAGCTCGGGATGGCCCCAGGGGTGTCATCATCTCACCAGGAATCCATTGCTGAGGCTTTAGCAGGTGACAGAAAGCAGTGGAAGTGACAGAAAAAATAAAGGTAAAATGCAGTACACGTGGTATGTCTGGGTGTAATGGGGGATTGCAGCCCTGGGAAGAAAGATTCCAGTAGAGAGAATAGTAAAAAATATATTAAAATAAAGTAGCCTCAAGTAAACTCTAAACTGAGAAGGAAGAAACCACCAGCCTTAAAATCATATTCCTGCCAGCAAAGAAGAAAAAACCTATCACTATTTCCCCCTCAGGATGCTGATGAGTCACTGCAGCAGCGCAAAGGAAGGAGGAGAATTTACTGCTGGAGGAGCAGGGTAGATGCTTTTATCCTCTGTGTTTATTTTTTTCTATTGCTGACAACCTTTAAAAGAAAATGAGTAATTTGGCTATTAGTGTTAGCGCTGCTGGATGAACAATGAGTGATTGCTCTATCTTGATTAGACTGAAGCATTAATTAGTCAACCAATAACATCTAATTCTTGAATTCTCACATCAGCATCTTCTTTCAGCGTCTTTCTGTGCATTTGGGCTCGACCAAGCTGCTTCTCTCTTGCCTGAGGTGGCCAGGATGGGGCTGTGTGAGTTGGGTGCTGGGCAGATGTTTTGGCTGCCTGGGCTGGTGCAAAATTGGCAGGATGGAGGAGAAAATTCACTGCTTAAATCCCTCAGGCCTTGACAACAGCTCTTGGCTACATCTGCTAATATTAGGGCTGGTTTGAGGATGATTACAGTTCTGTGCAACAGCTATTAATATCATACAAAGCTTGGATGGAAGTCAAAAATAACAGCAAATGAGAAAACTACCAACCAGCAGCCAAACAGGAAGTACAGGCAAGGCTCGGTGTTGTGAAAGATAAATGTTGGGAAGGAAAAGCAAAAGAGCTGCAATAAGATGCAGAGGAAAAAAAAAATACAAATATTTTTGCTGGTGGTTTGAAAACAGTCCTTGGCTTCAAAACATTCTGTTGCATCAAATAACACTGATCAAATTCTGAGCTGATTGAAAGGAAATCCTGGTTTATTTGCCCAAAAAACCACCTGTTTGTTATAAAGTTCCTTCAGTTGGGTCTGGGCCACAAGGAAAGGGCTCTGAACCACCAGAGTGAGCTGCAAAACAGACAGAACCTGGAAATGTTCTTCAAACAGTGCCTGCAGCATTGGGAAGCTTCAAGAAGCTTTATCTGAGTAGCTGAGGCCAGAACTAAAAATACTTTGAGGTGTGGCCACAAAATTTCCCTGACAAAGTTTGAGTCCTGGCTGAACATCTGAATTCTTTCCCTGCTAATTGTCTATAACTTCTTTACTGGTGTTCAGGTACAGGTGAGGCTCCTGTGAGTAAGAGGACAGATAAAAAGGTGCTTTCAGTTTGTCACAGTTTCTATTTCACCTTTTCAGCTCCTGGCACTGCCCTTGGGTGTGTTCACAGCTCTGCAGGTTGGGTTTACAAACCTCTCCGGGGAAAGAAAGACTTTAAAACCTCATATTGGTACTTGCACAGAGGAATTTAATTTAATTTGTACAAGAAAAGCCTGGCTTGGAAGCTTGAGGAGAGAATCCTTTGCTATCCAGGTGCTGAGGGCCTGGCACAGGTCACCCCGAGAAGCTGTGGCTGTCCCTGGATCCCTGGAAGTGTCCAAGGCCAGGTTGGATGTGGCCTGGAGCAGCCTGGTCTGATGGAACCGTGGCAGGCAGGGTGGAACTGGGTGATTTTTTAAATCATAAACCTTTCTATGACCTCAGTGTTTTTGATGAGACCAAAACAGGTGATGTTTCTCCTAGAAAAGGGTTGTGAATCTCAGAGGTGCCCATTTTCCCCTGCTGTCTGTTCCCTGGTGATCTCCCCCAAGCACAGGCTGGTGCCAGCAGATGGCAGAGGCTTCCCACGGATAACGCTGCTGCGCCGTTCTCTCCCCAGCCTGGCAAAAAGAGCCGTGCTTTTACACCACTTTTACATTTCTGCCTCGCAGCTGGGTTATTTTTTAACAATGTTCCAACCCCCTCCCCTTTATTTGGATGAAAACATCAATATTTGGGAAAGTGGTGGTTTGCCACGGGTCAAAACAAGGAGGGAAAGCAGAGCAGGACCTTAGAGAGGGTGTTCATCCTTCTCACAGCTGAGTTCAGCCCAAGGGGGGAGGACTGGGCAGCATTTAAAACGAAAAAGGAAATATTTTTTTATGTAATATAGACAGAAACTGAGGCCAGTATTGTCTTGCCACAATATTTACCCTCCTTGTTTGCAAACGCTTTGGATGTGCAGCCTCTGTGCACGTCCTGCTTCTTCCTCACTCCCATCGTGGCACTTGCATCTGCTGGTTCCTCCAGATAAAGGTGGCCTGGAATTTCTGCCTTGCTCACACCGGGGTGTGGGGTACCACCAGAGCCTGGATCTGCTGCTGGGGGTGACACAGGGAGCTCTGGCTGGAGCTGGCAGGGAATAGCTGCACTCCAGACACTCCCAGCTCCCCCCAGACCGGACAGGAGCACTCATGTGATGCTTTTCTCTCCTGAAACCTGCAGGGAGATCTGGGCAGCTGCTCAAGCAGCAAACAGAGCTGGTGTGCATTTCAAAACCCTGGGCTGAGATACCTTCCCCAAGCGCCTTTCTCTCCCGAATTAATCCATCTCCAAAAACACCAGGCTTTGCCTGTTTACAGCAGGGTGAGGCAATGAGGTCACTGCAGAGGCTTGATCAGCACGACAGGAACGATTCCAGGGAGCAGAGCGAGATGATAGCGAGGCTTCAGTTAACTGTCCCCAGCTCCTCACCATGCCCACGTAGCCAGGGTGTGTCTGCAGGGCCTGGAAGACACTGAGATACCAACGGCCTCCCCTGGCTGCTCAGGGAGGGCAGCTTATCTCCCAGAGCAAAGCCTTTCCTGCTATCAGCACCCCGAGAGACACTCAACTGTCTTCCAACTGCTCTGATAGAGTGATAAGCCCGGAGCGTTTGCTGCTCAGCCAGGCTGGGAAGCTCCAGAGCACCGGGGGCTCATCTGGGGCAGGGAGAGCTGCAACAGCCTGGTTGTGAGTGCTGGGAGAGTTTGGGGTGTTGAGAGTTCTTAATTCCTCCTTTTGCTCCAGCTCCTGCCCTGTGAGGGGCTGTAGGGTTCACCCCAGCTGAGAGCGAGCAGCGCAGGCAGTGAAAGTTCAGGGAATTGAAAAAGGAAAGTTCAAAGAAAAATGGTGAAGAGTTTCTTTGTGGAAAGGGAGGACAGGCATGGGAAGGGGCTGGGCTCCTGGAGATGTCCAGGGAAGGACTGGATGTGGCACTCAGTGCTCTGCTGTGGGTGACAAGGTGGGGATCAGGCACAGGATGGTCTCAGAGGGCTTTTCCTACCTGAACAGTTCAGGTGTGAAACGCTGGAATTGGCTCCTACAGCTCCACTTGGAGCAGTACCTGTCCCTGAATTCAGACACCACCTGAGGGTGTCAGCATTTTGTGTTAGTTTTGCAGTGGTTTTCCAGGCACAGAGAGAGTGGCTGTGGTTTCCCCCAGAAATGAATCCATGAGGAGGTGACCAGGCCCACCAGGTACGAGAGAATCCACAGGATTTTTAGTGTTGCTAACTAATAAAAGCCAGAGCACGAAGGGAAATCAGATCCTCTGATTCCAGCAGCTGCTCCAAAGGCACATGGCTCTGCTGTCTGGGCATAAAAGTAATGAAAAATTGCGGTGTTGAGATTTTGATAAGATTGCAGCAGTTCTCACTGGCAATTAACGGAGGAGTTTCTGTCTGTGGAAGGAATCTGTGGCTCTCAGTCGTTCTCCAGACAAGAAGCTGATGGAGGGTAATGCCAAGAAGGCTGAAATGTGTCAAAACTTCAAAGGGTGACGGATCAGACGAGGATTATAATTGACAGAGGAGAGAAATCTCAGTGTAGTAAGGAAAAAACAGTGTAGAGATGCACTAAAATTAATCTCTAAAATCACTTTCAGGTGATTTGGGTAAGATTAAATTCACTCAGCAGGTGCCAGAAGGCCAAGAAAGGAACTTTAACCTAGAGAGGGTAGAAAATGGTCAAGGAAAAATGCCAAAGGTTTCTCTTAAAACAGAGGCTGAAGATCAGAGAGAACTATGTGGTGTTAGCATCTGGGAAAACAGTGGAACAAGGACTTAAACGTGTTGTTTGTCAGCACCAAAGAGAATGAGAAACTGCAACGGTAATTGGGCAAGATCCAACCATCCCAAGCAAAGATAATTGAGCTAATTTACATCTGCAGCGATGTTCTGAGCGCTGCGCTCCCAGAAGAGGCTGTAAATACATAAAGTTTTATGGCTTTTGATACTGTTCCACATGGCCCATGAGAAAGAGAAAGAAACACTGCATAAAATCACTCCAGAGCGTATCCAAGACTGCGACTAGCCCTGCACAGAGGACA